ATATATTTATGATTATTAACGTACTAATAAATGTAAGATTAGCATAGAGAAGAAGTAAAATACCTTTATGTATTTTATACGTAACTTTCCCGTACCGTATTTTACTAACTATGGGTTTCACAACCCAATTTGTAACCATTAGATGTATTCTCTATACTGTCTCTTTTCTGTTTTTTTTTATTTGATGATTGAGATAAAACGAAGGGTATTTTTTAGAGAAAAAAAACTTACCACACTCAATTATTGTAACACCTTAGGCAAATCCCACATCGACAAAGCACGGAAGAGATTCATGGTTCATAAGTAAGAAACCGACCTTAACTGACAAGACGCGTTTTGGGGTGAAATGGAGGAGATATTGTGAGAACTCTGAAGTTAAACGTGCTCAGTGTGGAGTACAACAAGGATGGGTGACCTTATGGGAAGTCACCTTGAATTGCACCCTAAGTAAAAAACCGTGAGGGTCGAGACCCAAAGCGGACAATATCTTCGTCGGGAGAAAGTGCGGGATGTTACAATCATTCTCCCTCACATATAAAATAATAAAACCCTAATCTAACCCATACCAACTTGAGAGCCGTTCACTTCCTTCTCCCCTTCCTCCCTCTCTTCCGCGGAAGTTGTCGCCGCCACTTCACCTCCCTCTTCCTCTGCCACTATCATGCCCACCACGCCCGCTGTTCCCGCCGCACCATGCTGCCCCCGTCGACCCTGCGTCCCCCGTCGTGCCATGCTGCCCCCTACCGCGCTCGCCGTCGTCTTTACGCGCTGCCGCAAGGTCACTGACTCTTCCTTGCCTCCCCCTTTCCTCATCCCTGTTTTTTTTTCTTTTTCAGATCTTGGATTTTTCATATTCCACATATGGTTTTTTGTGGTAGTCTCTATTGGTACGCTACCAGTGAGCACTGGTAGCTTACCACTACCACTAGCAGGGGCGGAGCTAGGATCTAGTGGTCGGGGGGGCCGGACTTTATTGTATAATATTCGTAAAAAAAATTAAGAAAATATTTACATTGTGAGTCATAAGCTTCAAAATTTAATTATCTAGACTCCAAAATTTAATTATCTAAATTAGAAAAATATTATAAGCTCCAAAATTTCATTATCTAGTTTGAACTTTAAAATTAAAAAGTATTTGAATAAGTACAAAAGTTAAGTGATCAATCTAAATTTTAAACAAAAATTCAACCAAAGTAGGAAAACTAAAAAAACAATGTTGCTGCTAGGGATTGAACCATGGTACTAGGTATTCACAAATACCAAGCAGCTGCATTCCATTAGACTAGACCCAAACATTGTTGCTCATTATTGCACGTTATTGTTATTCTACAATAGTTAATTTCTTCAGAATTTTCAAAATTCCCGATATTTTTACACGCGATCTCCAAAATTCTCGGGGGGGCCGGGGCCCCCCCGAGGCATAAGGTAGTTCCGCCCCTGACCACTAGTAGTGACTACTAGTACGCAATCACTGGTAGCGCTATTGGTACGCTACCACTACTCACTGGTATGTACCAGTGACTAGTGGTAGCATACCAGTACTCACTAGTATGCTACCATTAGTAGTTTTTGCGTACCACTAGACAAAATCATTACCATTACCACATTGACAGAGTTGTATTTTTTTGCAGGTGGTTGGAGCGAGTATGATTGAAGAATTTCACCGGAGAAGGTTTGTCGGTCAGAGAAAATTAGTCGGTCGGAGTCAATGGCTGCCGGAAAAGGAAGAGAGATAGGAAGAGATAGAAATGTATTTGTGGTAGGTTTTAAATTTTAAAATAAAATAAAGTATTTAATATGAATTTTAATTTCCAAAATGTAATAAATTTAAAAAGGAAAGTAATTAATAAGATTTTTTTTTTTTTTGCACTACCCAAATTGTACTTGGTTGTGACACTCACAACCTCTTTGAGGGATGTGACCGTATCCCACCCCGTGATGAGTATCAAGAAGGAGATCTTTGAATTGTGTTTCATTGGTAAACTAGGTTTGATCTTGTTGTAAGAAAGCCATTAAAATAAATGGGCGATGATTAAATATTCTTACTATCTATCTATTTAACTTCTATATTAAAATTAATAATTTAGTTTATAAAGTTATGAAATATTAATATCCCCCAACTCCCATTTCAACCAAAAGGAGTTTATGAGATTCTTGTAATAACTAAAACTCAAATTATTAGATCAATACTACTTTTACTATTCGATATGAAATTGAAGCGTATTTTTGGAACCTGAAGAATAGGTTTCATTAGCAAGATAAAAATGTCTCTCCAATATTGAACCATATCAAATAAAATATTATATGTTAGTTGCAGTTTACATGTATAAGGCAGTTTACATGTGATCATTTCTTTGAAATGAAGTGATCCAAATTAAATAGCGAACATGCAAATGATCATTTACAAGAAATCCCTCAACTTTAATGTTCACTAAAAATTATCAAGTCAACTTTTAATATGAATAGGATTGAATCTTGTTAATTAATCGTCCTAAGTCCTAACCGATGCCTATCTTTCGTGGATCCATGCCTCCATTGATGAACTCTGGCAATACATCAGATCCAACGTTCGCCAACCTGTTGCATGAGAAAAGAAATTTCCAAATTCGTGTTACTCAAATATTTATTGACAGAACAACGACTATCATTTTTCTCTCAGTCTAATGGTCTCGATTGTTTCTTAACCTTTGCAGTTAATTACTCAATTGTCAAACAGAAAGAGAGGTTTTACTTCACCTGTATAGCACCGTAGGAATGACATCTCAAGGCTCAAGCACGTGTTCCAGAATGAATGCCACTGCTTCTAAGTTCTACCACCTCATATTTCTCCTGGTGAGGTTACAAATTTAACTGCGCAACCAAATTCCACCCATCAGTATTACATTAATTCACCTCCAATCATTGCTTGAACAAGTTGAAGATTCCCCCATATCATATCAGTAGGGAACACGTAATTACCTTTAAAAAGACTTGAGCTGAATCTAATTAGTAATCTAACCCCACTTGAAACATACTGTCAAGAGTTAAATTTCATGTGCACAATAGAAAAACGGATATGAACACCAAAACGTGTAGACTGACGGCCGAATCCCCCTATTCTTCACTTTCAGTTGAGAGGAAAGGGTCAGGAATCAGGCAGACCAGACATAAATACATGATTTGTTCCAGATTCAGTGGACAGAGTGACAATCATAATGCAGGGTTTTAAGAAATAGAAAAGGGACCCAAAGAAGAACAATGCAGACTGTGGAGGTGGGTGAACCAATATACAGTATACTGTATATTCCTCCCTTCAAAGGCAATTGTACCAGACAGGAGCAGAAAAAAGGAGGAGATAATGTAGTGATGATTAGAGCAAATATGGATATGACGATATGTATATCCATCTAACTATTAATGTTTGTTGGCAGAATTGTAATCGGATATAGACTAGAAGCTTTGCAGCCAGCCAAGGACAGTCAAAGGAACAGGCTGTTTTAATTGGTAATAGAATAGGAAACCCCATTCATCTAACACCCTTCACCAACCTTTAATCATCAAACTCCAAACCCTATAAACAGAGCCATAAAGGCATTATATACCCCACACGTGTGGTTTTTATATTCCAGTCTACCATATAGGTGGAATACCAAACTCTTTTTCTTCTCTTCATCTGTTCCTTTCTCATTCATGCAAATCCCTAAAAAAGTCAGGAATTCTTGAAGCTTCAGATTTCACTGTGCCATTGTGTTAAGAGAATAAATAAAAAAGGGGGTGAATCGAATCTGATATGATGCTGATAGGGTAGGCGTCAGCGCGATCAGAGATTCAATCGCTCGTGCAATCTCAACCGTTAGATGTACGCGCGGCGGTATTTTAATTTGCTCACCACGTGCATCTAAGGGGAATTGAGATTATATATGTTTTTTTTGTTGAACGGTGCCAACAAGTGTCGCGATGCATACTCATCGACACCATAGCGCTAAAAAGTACAGCTTGGAGAAGCCAAGAAGTGAAGTCACAGGATCATGGTAGTGGATTAGTTAGGTTGTTATGGTTCACAAAGGAAGCAACCCAACTCAAAGGGGGACCTGAAATTAGGAGAATAAGGTGACAGCAGTTGCAGCTCGTAGGCCACTAACAAATCAAAAGGAAATCACACGAGGAAGCAACAGAAGGAAACTAAATGCATATGACATATTATGTTGTCGGTGGTTCAATATTGAGAAATCGGCTCCAAAAGATTTATGACATGTTTGTCAGCTGTGATTGCAATTCTGTATACACAACATGTAGTATGAAACTATGGCATGGACCACTCTTAAACACGGCCTACGATTGGATGTGGAGAACCAAAGTCCACCAAATCAATGCGCCCTAATATGGCCGGTGGTCAGCAGTCAATTTCAGCTATTGGGATCTCTTCGTAGCTTCAATAGATCATTTCAAGCTACTAGAGAGAAGGGAGAAAATACATTGTGATGAACTGACCTTGCAAAAACAAAATTCTACGTCTTCTTTTGTTGTTCGCCATGTTATCTTCCGTTACTCTTTCTCTCCCTCTACCCACTATGGAAATGGAGACATGAAACGCTGTGCATGCCACACACCACCAGCTGGCCACTGGGACGGCAGGTAAACACATCCATGGTGAATAATACTTCAAAATGGAATGGAAAAGGAGCATTCATCGAAAGCAGGGGACAAAAGTGTTGATTGACAAAGCGTAAGAAAAGTATGTTTGATAATAAAATAGAGTAATGATTGGTAGAACTTGTGCTAAAACAAGGAAAACAGGTAAAAGTGCATTCACAAATTAAAACAACAGCTGATATGATTAAGACCTTGATATTTGGACGAACGTGTGTACTAAAAGAGAAAGAAAAGGAAGAATGCGCTTGATCTAACTTCTGCCGTCCTACTAACTGTTCAAAAGCTTCTTAACAGCGAATGGAGTAGATAAGTAAAAACTCATCACCAAAACCCAACTATTAACTTGAGAAAATGGCCAATCTAAGATAGTCCAATGCATAAGCTTCAGATTTGTTCCCCTTTCTCATTGATTAATTAATACAGTCATTTATCAAAGAGGAAGTACAAGAATGAATTTATCAGCTAGAAGTATTGTACAGTTCTCCTACGATTCAATCCATTGGGCCAGAAAACAGGTATTGCAGTATGGAAGTTCAGTTCTAGCCCCTGATGCCTACCACCGGGAAGAACAAGAAAGTACAATCTTCGTTTTGGGACTGTTATGAGGTATGAAGCAACCTTGCCAAAGATCCATATGAAAACAAAGAGCAAATAACTGTAAAAACCAATTTATCTTCATGTTCAGCTTTGCAAACCCACTAAAAAGAAAATTCTAGGGTTTCGGATACATCTGTGCAGTCACCATCGTCTGAGGGAAAATCTCACACCAGCTATCAAGAGATCAGCAAAACAAGTCCTAAACACAAAAATGCCATACATGACTCATTCCAAGCAAATTCGGCCATACAAGTTTCCAGGCCGAAAGAAACCAAACAAAGGGATAAAGGAAGTACAGGAAAACAATACTTGAAGAGAGTGGAAAGCTCGATCGGAAAAAGAGAGATGGTGCGGTGTATTTGACGGGTCGGGCAAACTTCATTTTGCTACAATTTGCAATTCAAATCTAAGATAAGGAATCAGAGAAAAGAGGAAATAGTAAGGACAAATGCAAAGGTTGAGAACGAATTGCAAACAAGAATGTCAATGGCTTGAGCTAAAAGGATGAGAAACTCCACCGCTCGCGGCCGGAAACTGGAAGTGGAGTCGGCGAGTCGCTATTCGCCGTCCTTTCTTCTCCGTCTGACATCTGAGCAACTGTCCGGCCGTTCCTACAACTGTTCAGACTTGACAGGACATGGATCGGGCACGCGGCAGGGTCCGGGGAGGGCTTTTTTGCGGGAGTTTTTGAATGTACCAACCGATTTTGGGCCAAAGGCCGGCCCATTAAATTCTTTCAATTTCACCCACAATATGGCCCATGTTTGATCACAAGGGCATGTTTGATCATTTTTACAAAGTATAGGGCATGTTTGATGTAAGAAAATAGTAGATGGGTATGTTTGATAAAACTGCATAGTAAAGAGGTATATTATACCTATAACCCTTCCACATACCATTACATATTTACATTCTAAGTTTTTTTTTTTCCAAGTAATGTCAAGAGAGAACCTATACAATCTACCAAGATCCTGCCCAACCCAATACATTAGTGAAGCCAACCTACAAAGTCAAAGGCGCACAACTCTAAAGGAGAGAGTAACAGGGCTTTCTGCGCCACTCTATGGGCAGCCCTGTTAGCAGTCCGAGGAACTGCCCTAAACTCTAAGGACACTGAGACGGAAGACAGGAGAAGAAGCAATCCCGAAGCACCGAACCTCCAGAGGAGTCAGAGAGAGCACCTTGGCGAAGCTGACGGATCACGACTTCTGAATCTCCTTCTATGATGACCCGAGGCAGAGATTTGGACACCAAAAGGAGAATGGCGTCTCTAGCAGCAAGGAGTTCCGCAAGGTAAGGATCATCAATACCGGGGTGGAGAGATCCTACTGCCAGAGCCACATGCCCGTCTGAACCTCGCACCAGTAGACCAGACGAGCATCCAGAAGGACGAACAGCAGCGTCAAAGTTGATCTTCAAAAAACCATCAGGAGGCGGGGACCAAAACGAGCAACGAGAGAAGGAAGGCTGGGGCGGAGCAGCAGGGACCAAAGGCAGGGAGGAAGACAATTCACGAACTTGGAAAAAACACTGACGAGCGAGAGACTGGGCATGAGGTTGAATATGCTCAAAGACCACCTTATTTCTAGACTTCCAGATCCTCCATAATACACAAACGTATAGGAGAATGTGGGTTTGGGGGTGCTCAGAAAGCATAACATGTCGCCACCAGAGACTGAAATTCACAGTCGGGGCCGAGGAGATGAAATCATTTAGACCCATGAGCGACCACAATCTTGTGGCCAAGGGGCATTTGAAGAACAGATGTTCAAGGCTTTCCGGTCTTCTCCAGCAAACTGGGCAACGAACCAGACAATTTACTCCTCTAGACTTGAGTGCTACTACCGTTGGTAAAATCACTCTAAGGCACTGCCAGATAAAGAATTTCAGTTTCGGGGGAGATACCATGTCCCATGTTTTCTTCCAGATAGGAGGATCAATGATTTGGGCCAGTTGTTTTCGGCTAGAGGCTAAGGAGAGCTCAAGAGCTAGGTGGTATCCTGTTTTGACTGTATATGAACCATTCTTTGTATAATGCCAAACTCTCGTATCACTTTGTTGGCATCTCGGGAGAGGGATTTTACATATAAGGCTTACTGTTAAAGGATCAAAACAGTACTGCAGCCTTGGGACATGCCACTCTCCTCTATTTTCCTTGATGAAGAAAGAAACTCTTGGGGAATTAGTTATGTTCGAGAGGCGGACCAGCGGGGTGATGGGTTTGTCTGCAATAACCCACTTATCTTTGAAGGCCACAATGTCTTGCCCATCCCCAACTTGCCATCTTAACCCTTGGAGAAGGAGGTCCCTACCAAACAATAAGCTACGCCATCCCCATGAAGGGTTCGAGCCTAGATTAGCGTCCAATACTGAACCATGCTGAAAGTACTGACCCTTATAAATTGAGGCCAGGAGAGAGTCCGGATCTTGCCAGATTCGCCAACATTGTTTTGCTAACAAGGCTTGGTTAAAAGCCCCAAAGTCCCTGAATCCTAAACCTCCAAGGAATTTACTATGCGCCAAACTTTTCCAGGATACCCAATGTATTGGGTGATCCACATTATCCGCTGAACCCCACCAGAACCTAGCCACTTGACTATTCAATCTCTTGCAGTTCTCTTTAGGAATCTTGAAGCACGACAATCCATGGACTGGAAGATTGGTGGCAGCTGTTCTAATCAAAATGTCCTTGCCAGCCTTAGATAGAACCCGCTGTTTCCAACCCTTGTAACTTTTTAATGAGCTTCTCTTCTATGAATTTGGAAGGCCTCTCTTTTTGATCTAGATATGACTGATGGGAGACCCAAGTAATAATCCTGTTCTCCAATGCTTCCCACTCCTAATTGTCTTCCTAGCTCCACAGCTAGATCTGGGTTCATGTTGCGACTGAATAATACTGCTGACTTTTGCAGATTGACCCGTTGGCCGCTCAGACCTTCATAGACTTGGAATAGGGAAAGAACTGTTGAACATGATTGCGGGGTGGCCTCTAAGAAGAGATAAGAGTCATCCGCAAAGAAGATGTGGGACACCATCGGGCAATTTGCCCGGATTCTGACTCCTTCCAGATATCCTACCGCTACTGTGTGCCTTATCATTGCAGAAAACCCTTCTGTACAGATAGCGAATAAGAGAGACGATAGCGGATCTCCTTGCCTAAGTCCTCTTGCGGGACGGAAATAGCTTGAGGGGACCCCGTTCACCAGAACCGAGTAGGAAACTGTTGTGACACATTCTTTTATCCATGATATAAACTTGTGTTCAAACCCTAGTTCTTTCATCACTTCGAAAAGGAATGGTCATTCCACACGATCGTATGCTTTTTCCATATCTAGCTTTAATGCCATCCATGTCCTTTGACCTGATGTTAGAGTTTGGAGATGATGAGTGATCTCGTGACTAATTAGAATATTGTCAGAGATTTGATGGCCTTTAATGAACCCGTTCTGTGTTTGGGATATTACACTGGGGAGGACCCGGCTTAGTCTGTTAGCCAGGATTTTTGCTATGATCTTGTAAACTACTTGACATAGGCTGATAGGTCTGAGATTTTTCATGGATCTAACTTCTGCAGATTTTGGGACCAGTGAGATCCAAGTCCTATTAAAAGATCGTAAAAGGTGACCAGAGTGAAAGAAGGCTAGGACTGCTTCAATGACATTGCTGCCAACTAAATCCCAGTATGCTTGATAGAATCCAGCTGTGAATCCATCTGGTCCCGGGGCTTGAGTTTTTCCCATACTGAAGACAACTTCTTTGACTTCCTCTGGTGTGATTCGATCGATAAGAGCTCGGTTTTGTTCTTCAGAGACGAAACGTTCAAACGGAAGGTTAGATACGTCGATACCTTCAGTTAGCTGGGACTGAAACAAGGTTTGATAAAATTCAACTGCTATGCTTAATTTTCGGTCCCCATCTGTACACCATGGACCCCTAGAGTCCTCCAAACCCCAGATGAAGTTGGCCTGACGTCTAATTGCCGTTATCATATGAAAATATGGGGTGTTGCGATCCCCTTCTGTTAACCAGCTAACGCGCGACTTTTGTCTCCAATAGATTTCTTCCATTCTATACTGAACCTCTAACCTCTCTTCCAGGGAAAGTATCAGGTTCCAATCCACTATGCTATTTTCCCGTGCTTCAACAAGAGCTGAATTAAGGTCTTTTATCAGTCTGGCTTAGTTAGAGGTACCCCCTTTGCACCAATCGACTAGGGCGTGACGGACCCTGAGCAATTTGTTAAAAAGACAAAATTGCAGGGACCCAGCTATGGGTATATTCCAGACGTAATCTATTATGAGTTTAGCTTCATGAGTTCTAGTCCACCTAATATCAAAATGGAATAGACGTTTAGCTCTAGACATTTCCGGGGTTGTCATGAGGCACAGGAGCCTATGATCGGACCCTTTATCTGAGAGATGGTATAGACAAGAGTTCGGCCAGTGGTACGCCCAACTTGTGGAGACAAATGCTCTGTCAATTTGTTGCTCGATTAGGATACCATTTCTACCCCGGTTAGTCCAAGTAAATTTTGGTCCCTGAAATCTCACCTCTAGCAGACCCAAAGTATTTAGAAAGTCCCAAAGGGGGCGGGCTTTGTCCATGCGCCATGGGGCACCTCCTGATTTCTCTACCGGGGATAAGGAGCAATTGACATCTCCAATTATTAGAAAGGGGTCTGACAACCTTGAACAAAATCTATTAATCTCCTCAAGTTGCGTGCGCCGATTTGCGATTATGTAAGAAAGGTAGACTCCTACTAGCACGAAACGAGGGCAAGCACCGTAGCAATGGGAGTTATTATTGATGACCGAAATTGCAATGAAAAAAGGGGTTGAACCAATAACTGAGATCGAAGTACCTCGTGGCCACCCAAATACTAAACCCCCCGACAGGCCGGTAGGGTTAACTGGAAAGCAATCTGAAAAGCCTAACCGTGACATGAAAGATTCAACTTTATCTCTAGGAGACATTGTTTCACAAAGAAATAAAAAGGACTTAGACAAATTTCGGTGAGCTTTAAGCGTCTGGAATGTCAAGGTACTCCCCACCCCTTGACAATTCCACGCGTAGATATTCATTTAGAGGGTTGGGGCCCGTTGGGGCTGGCTACCTCCACCCTTTTTCCTTTGTTTTTATCCTCGCCTGGACTCTTTGGAATGAAATTTACCACTCCTTCTTCCGGTTCTTGGATACAGATTCCAGTGTTTCTTCGAACGTACACTCTTGGGGACTCTGACGATTCAACCAATATTGCCTTCCCTTTTGACTTCCCATCCGCCACGCACCCTAACGGGGAGCAAGAAAAGGCTGTATCTGTAGATTGATCCATACCTTCATTATCAAAGAAATACATCCCTACTCCTTGCAATCCAAAAGAGTGAATATCTTCAAAATCGTCAAATAAAAACCCAGGATCTTCACTGCAATATAAGTTACCTAACCCATAAGAGGGTGATGGAGCTTGAACTTGAAGCGGGATGGGCTCCAGCACTAATGGTTGGGCGGACTGGGCTTTAGAGTTGATGGGCTCAACTCTGTTTTGGTCTTGGCTGCCAAGAGTGGGCACCATCGCCATTTGGGCCGGCCTGCTGTCTGGTTCCTCTTCTATTGGCTGGGCCAATTCATTTCTCGGCCCAAGTCTTGTA